CTTCCTTCCTTCCTTCCTTCCTTCCTTCCTTCCTTCCTTCCTTCCTTTTTTTTTGTTTTTTGTTTTTTGTCTTTCAAGACAGGGTTTCTCTGTCTCTGTAGCTTTGGAGCCTGTCCTGGAAATAGCTCTTGTAGGCCAGGCTGGTCTCGAACTCACAGAGATCCACCTGCCTCTGCCTCCCGATTAAAGGCGTGCGCCACTGCCACCCGGCCACAGCTCACCTTTCTGTCAGCATAGGTGGTCCTTGGTCTTTGCTTATCACACTCAGTGAGCGTAAAGAAGTTTCCTTTATTTGGGAATGAAATGTATGTCAAACTTCAAGGAAATATTTGAAAATTGCAGACACAATTTTATAAGCACATCTATTTTTTATTCTGGTTTTTCTTTTTTTTCTTTTCTTTTTTTTTTTTTTGAGACAGGGTCTCTTCATGTAGTCCTGGCTGTTCTGGAACTCATTGTGTAGACCAGGCCATCCTCAGACTCAGAGGTCAAACTGCCTCTGCCTCCCCAGTGCTGTGATCCAAGGTCTATGACACTATGCCAGGCTCCTAACTGGTCTTGAATACACAGAATAGAAGTACCAAGAGGATGTTAGATTGTTTCACTATCATTAGAAAGAAAAGACATCAAATTTTGGGAGGATATTGTTTCCCTCATAGATCAGACTGGCTGAAACTTGTACTCGTTCATACCTGGTCACACATTTTGTGTGTGTGTGACTGTGTGTGTGTGTGTGTGTGTGTGTGTGTGTGTGTGTGTGTATATACATGCGTGTGTGTGTGTGTGTGTGAGCATGTGTGCACACGGATTGGTCTGGTAGAAATCTAAATATGAATGGGAAGTAATTCTTAGGTTACAGGTTCTGTTGAATGTTTAAACAAAATGAAGACCAGTTAAGAATTGTGGAGAGAAAATTATTTAAAGCCTAACTTAGCATGCACAGTATGACAGTGAACTGTATGTACTTTAGAGAACATGAAGCCAGACATGGTGCTGTACACCTTTAGTTGCAGCACTCAAAAGGCGAGGCATGTAGAGCTGTGTGTTCAAGGTCAACCTGGTCTGTGAAGTGATTTCAAGGACAGCTATGGCTACACAGAGAAATCCTGTCCTGAACTTCCCAACCAGCCCCACACCCCCACAAAAAAAAAATCTAGAGAACTTGAATTTGCTGTTGTGCCTGAAATTTTTTCTGGTTCCATTTCCACCATGGCAGATACAGTCATTCTTTCACTTTTGTGCAAATGGACTTTTATTATATGGATGGGCACAACTACTTCATTGAGCACATAACACAAACTTAATTATGCACTACCAATTAATTTTTGTTCATTTGAGCATGGATTAAGCAGAAGTTTTTCCTTGGTATTCATAAGGACAGCTTGCTGAGTTAGCTAACAATATAGTCCAGACTAAGGAGGAATATTAATTCTTTAGGAGAAAACACAATTTCCAATGAATTCTTAAACATTCTTTGTGATGCAAATATTTGTACTGCTCACTGATATCATTAATTCGAATTTTTCTCCAGATTATTTGGAAAATTCTAATTTTCAGTAATTAAATATATCTGATGCTTCTTGGCTATTTTTGAAAAATTTGTTTTAGCTTCTCAGGATTGACCTGGGATGAATGCATTGGAAGCATTGCTATAACACAGAGCTATCCTCCAATGTCCACAGTGGGTTTGAGTATAGAGAACTAACTTGGGGGAAGTGAGAGAGCTGGCTACAGAAACCAACCATCTCTATATTTGATGGTTATGAAGTTATTATTCAACTTTTTCAATGAAGGGTAAAATATATGGTGATTCCTCAGTGCTAAGTGGAAGAAGGTGATGTAACTGGATTTGGAACGAGGTAGCTGGATTTCCTCTGAGTATTCCATTTATGCATTCCTCTATACATCAAGGATAGTCATCTGCCTTTGGGGTAAGGGCTACTTAGTGCTCCCGTTTGCTTAAACATTTATTTTGGTTGTCTACATATATCCCCCAGATTCTCTTCCGTACACCTTTCAGATGTGTCTTAAAAGTTTTCTAAGGGTCTCAATTTCCATTGAAAAGGTGAAATTAATCAGACCAGAGTCTAATATTGTGGTGGAAAGGAGATTTAGTGTATAGGAATGGGGTTTGAGTTTTATATAAACATTTCTGTCATATCTGAAAGTCCTTTTTCTTAGATATTTTTAAATCACGGTCTTGCATTGATAATCAAGATTTCTGTTCTCATACAACCATAGATTTCTCTCAAAAGCTATTGGTTGATCACTAAAGGGCTAGATACTCAAAACATGAAGAATTTTTCATAAAGAGCCAGTATTAGAAATAGTCATTGTGTATAAAAAGTAATATGATATTTTTTTGTTGTCTCCTTAGGTAACGTGCTAAGAAAATGAGTACGAATTCTGTATTGATACATGCTCAAATCCAAATGTGGTGTGCAAAGGCAGGAATGTCTAAGGCAAAAGCTGCATTCATTGAAACAGTGATGGGAAAACGGGAAGCTAAACTTGTGCTCTATTTTACCACTGGGAAGATTAAAGCTTTGCAGCTAAACAATAATATTAAAAGTGTGGTCCTTAGAACCTATGGTGAAGATCAGAATTACCTAAATTTAACTTTTAAAAATAACGATTTCTTGTTTGTTGAGAAACTAACCACCATAGATGCCAGACAACTGAAGAAATTCCTAGACAGAGTTTATCAAAAAAATCTTCGGGCATTCCGGAGAAATGGTAAGGAGAGATCTGATGATCCTAGCACAAGCACCCAGGAGTTAGGTGCCTCTTCACCACTGGAGTTAGGTGCCTCTTCACCACTGGAAGTTCATGCAGAACCAAGCAGTAAGTGCTTCGAATCAGCCAAAAAAAGTGAAGCACCAGTGCTTCCTTTGCCTTCATCCTCATCAACCACACCTAATAGCGTAGGGTTCTTAGAAAAACAACTTGTAAAGAGGAAAAGATCCTCACCTAATTCAGAAAAGAAGAAAACAGAGACCATCCTACAGGGCAGCAGTAAGGAATCTGAGGCAAAGTCGGTGGTGCCTGTACATGATAATAAAGAAAAAGAAAGGGATTTAAGAGAGGCTGAAAAGAGTAAACCAGGATCTGGCTTTTCATCTGAGACCAACAATCCTGAAGAGTCTGATTTGAGTATTCGTGATATTCATGATCTCATTACAAAGTTATTTTCGCCATTTCTGTTAGAACCGTGCTGTATGGAGAAAGACATGGAGTGGCATGAGTGTATAAAGACACTCTTAGAGCACCCAGAGAAAACATGGCAAGGTCTGCCTAATGTGGGCAATACCTGTTATATAAATGTAGTGTTACAGTCGCTCTGCTCTGTTCCACTGTTTGTTAATGAGTTGTTCAATCAGGGTTTCCCATGGATTAGACCTCCTAGAGATGATTTTAACATGCGCTTGATGCAACTGCTTGTTTTGAAAGATATTTACAATACAAAAACTAGGGAGAAGTTACTTATAAAGTTCACAAAAACCCTTCCACAATTTGGAGAGATATTCGCTGCTAACAGGCAGAATGACGCACATGAGTTTTTAAGTCACTGTTTAGTTCAGTTGAAGGAAACTGTTCAAATATTAACCGTATTGTGGCAAGCTGAAAAAGAATCTGGGAGAAATAATTTACTTAGACAGATTTTTGCTAACCATGCTATTATTGACAAAATACCTTTTTGTCCTGTTGCCAATAATTTTGAATTTGAGTTGATGAGATCGATTTTTTGTAAAGCTTGTGGCATGGTTGTTTTCAGGAAAGAGCCGAGTAGTTCTCTCTCCATCAGCATTCCTCAAGGATTGAAAGGCCTCAGTTTGTCTATCCAATCCTGTTTTGATCTTTTTTTTAAAGCAGAAGAGCTTGAACATAGGTGCGAAAGGTGTATGCACAACAAATCTATGGCGGTGCATAAGTTTGGCCGCCTACCCAGGGTTATTATTATTCACCTTAAGCGCTATAGCTTTAGTGAGTCGCGGGTGGTGAAGAAGAATGAGCAACACGTCATTATTTCCAAAATTTTAAAGCTGTCTTATCATTGCAATGAAAACACAAAGCCACCTCAGCCCCTTAGCCAAAATGCACATGTTAAGGATTTTGACTTACTAAAACCCCTTCAAGAGTTGGGTTTTGACATTTTCAAAGTGTCATTTAATTCAATGATGACCTCAGGATCCAAGGATTCCCCAACTGTAGACACCAGCTCAAGCAAGGAGTCAGAAGCACAAAATGTAAGGAAAGTCTCTCATGTGTTGAGTGGGCAAGTGCAGCAGGAAGCTCAGGGAAAGGGGGCCACACAAAATGTAATTGGGTCAGAATTGACAAACAAGACAGAAAAACCCAAGAAACATGAGAAAACATGTACATTTAGTGAGTTAGATTCTGGTAGCTTCAGCAAGGCTACTAAAGATAATGATCTCAGAATTCCAGAAAGATCCCCAAAGTACCAACAGGTCCAGAAACGTTATGAAGAGAGAAGTGATAAACAGACCTCCCAAGAGGCAGTTACTCAGAGCCATCCAAAACCAAGCTCCCAGAAACAAATGGGTTACTTCAGTAAACCTGCAGAGTCACATACCCAGAGTGGCAATCTGAAGTTACAGGACTCACTGGACCCCAGTAAGAACTTAGGAAGCAAAGATATTTCAGGTAAGAAGACAAAGCCAAGAGGCAAGGTGGAACCCCAAACGGTTGATCCAAAAGAAGACAATTATTACAGGCTCATTAATATTATCAGCCATATTGGGAACAGTCCCCATGAAGGCCACTATATCAATGATGCCTTTGACTTCAGGAAGAAGAATTGGTTCACTTATAGTGATCCACAGGTGACGAGAATACAAGAGGAGCTTATACAGAAGGCTAGGCTTTCCACTGGCTATGTCTTCTTTTACATGCATAATGAGATCTTTGAAGAGCTCCTGGCAAAGGAATCTCAGGCTTCTAAAACGTCATAGGAGTAATATGAGGGCCATATGTCTCATAGTACCTATCTACCCGAGTGCCTTACTCACTTAAACTGGATTGAGAAGAACAGATAATTAGCCCAAGACCAACATCTCAACAAACATTTACAGAGAAATCACCTTTGTAACTCTAGCCATATTAATTCCATAGTTACAGCTGATGCTAAGGAGTGTTCTCTCATACAAGACTAGAACTGTATTTTTTATGCTTTTTGTCAGAAAATAGACTTACTGATAGTGAAGTTTTCAGTTTTCTCTACAGAAGTTGCATAACCCAAGGTTGTCCTTATATTGATAAAAGTGCCTTATTTTTTCCCGCGGTCATAAACATTCTTCTAAAAGAGGTGCATTTTCCCTTGTTTCAATGTTCTTTTTTGCATGATCACCATAATAAGTTATGATGAAAAAGCTCTTACATAATCAGAAGGAAAAAGCTCACATCCAGATAGCCAAAGGTTCAGGAGAATCTACCTAGCACTGTTAGCCCAGCCTGGTGCTTTTATCTTGCTGACTGTTTGAAATGTTTGAAATATCCTTGTCCCCTCGCAGCTTTCTTAAAATGGAGATCACTAAATGGTGGCACCTGGAGTGAAGAGAGAAGAAAACATTTTATGTCCACAGAAGTTGGCTAGCTCTCTGGTTAATTGCTTATTGGCTACAGCCCTCTCTAGTTCTAGGTCCCTGGCTTGGTTAAGGTGTCTGGTTTCCTTCTTGGCTCCAGTGCCAGCTCCTCAACTACTCTCTTCAACTCTTCATCAGAAGCAGCAGCACCAGGCACAATACTACTGAGATTTTGAGCCAGAGGAATTCTTCATCTCGTCAGTTATGTTTTCTGAAAGCTGGATTTCCTTCACCGCCGAGTCTTTCTCATTTGCCGCAAAGGTGCTGCTCCTGCTTCTGTCCCCACAGTTTGAGCATGGACCCACAAGCACATTAAGGCCCAAATAGACGCCTAGATTCTTCCCTTGCCCAAAAGGAGCAAGGCCACGACCCCTACCTTTTATGTTCTAATGCTGTGGTTTTAAGAGTGGAACCTGATCAGCACCACCAGGAAGACAGGACCTCATGGGCTCTTCTGAAGATCTCCTAATCCCCAAATTTAGAGCAGAGGACAGCAATCCAATGGAGACTGTAATGTTCAATTAGGTTTAGAGTCACTGTTTTTGTATGTAGAATATATTTTTTGCTTGTTATGTTAATGTGTTTGGGTTGCTTGTTACGTAGAAAGTATTTATAGCCTTTTTATTTCTATTATATATGCCTTTCCTATGAAAACACAGTTTTACTAGTTTGATTTTGTAAAAAAAAAAATAGTGGGATTACACCAGCTGTATTCAACTGAATCCGGGCAATAAGCAGTAAATGTGGCTGGCTGATACTTTTGAATCCTCTTGGACATGTGTAGATAATACTGGACACCAAACAAGTCTTCATAGTCCGCTAAAACCCCTCTTTTCTTCGGTATCAAAGGCGCTGGTTATTTTCAGACTTTGATCTTGAGGATGGAGAATCTGATTCATGCTCAAGAATTGATGTGTTTTCCTGTTTGTCAGCTAGCAAGTTACCTGCTGGATTTTGGTGATCTGAGCCCACTTCACCATTTTGATCTCAGAAGGGCACTTGAGTTACATCAAAGGAGTTTTGCTTACCAGGATTTGATCTGCAAAACTGAACAGTTTTGTGCATTCAACATTAGAAGAGGAATTAGGGATTTCTTTTTCATCTTTGTAGCATGGTATTCTGTTCCTTGAATGAATACACAATACCTGCTTTAAAGTGGACTTGTAAGACCTGAAAATCTAATTTGAATAACAAGCTTTGATATAACATGAAAAAAAAATGTCTCTGGAGATGATCTGATGTGTGGGGAAAGTCTCGTGCATCCTAGACATGGTGATATTCTGTAAACATTCAGTAATCATACTTAATTCTTCTAATGCCAAACATGTGTTGTCTGGAATGTCTTCTCTTGCCTTTGAAGCAATGAATATAATTCCTTATACCTGTATTGGAATATATAACAAGATTGTGCTACTTTGTTTTATTGTATACGCAGAATTTATCCCCTTAGTATAAGGGGTAGTTTCAGTATAGTGTATTAAATCCTTTTTGTTGGTAGTTTTATTTTCTTTCTGATTTTGTTTTTGTTTTGTTTGAATTTTTTGTTTGCATTTTGAGATGGGTGTCTCCTTTGCTATTAGAGGCCAGGGCTGGCATTGAATTCAGAGATCTGCTTGCTTATGCTTACCAAGTGCTAAGATTAAAGGCATAGGCCACATGTCTAGCTTTGTTAGTGTTATTTCTAGTGGCCTTTAGAGGAGTGAATTAGAATTTAGTGCTGTTAGGGAAATTAGATAATGCCCCTTTGTTTATGTATTTTATGTATATGAGTGCTCTATCTTCATGTGTGTCAGCATATCAGAAAAGGGCAGCAAAGCAAGGCATATCTTGACAACACTGACTAATACAGACAGCTAACAAGTCTAAAGTATGTAAGGTAGCACAGCAGACTAGGAATAAGTGCAGTAGTCAGTATTGTAGTGTTGAGTCTGAAATCCACAAGGCAAACTGGCCTGCTGGAGACTACTGCAGATTTGAGACAGAAAATCAGGTTTTGCTCTTTAGGCCTGATTGGAGCAGGCACACCCACATTTATACTTGATCAACAGAGTATAGTTATTAACTGCATTTACAAAATACCTGCCTAGCAATCCCTAGGTTACTATTTGATTAAATAGCATATATCCTAGCCAAGTTGGCAGACAACTAGCCATCACATATGCTAAGTCCAGAAGCTCAGAAAAACCTAAGCAAAACAATCCATTTTGTAAATGAAAACAATATGTTATAATACTAAATCTTTTCAATATAAGAAAATGTCCATAAAACAATTTCATGTAGACAGTGGTAATAATAAAACAACAAAGCTTCAATTATGAGAATGGCTTCTTTTGAATACTAAATAAAACTCAACCAACTGTTCGGTTTCATTATTGCAGGAACAATTAATGTTTTACATCATTTTGGTATTTGAAATTTAGTACATAACTCTTGATATCAGGTTATGCCCTACTATGTTTTAAAAAGGGGTTTGCTTTTAAGTTTGTGAGTGTTTTGCCTGCATTGTGTAAATGCACTATTTGCATACCTATTGCCACAGAGACGTAAAGATGGCCTCAGATCCTCTGTAACTGGAATTATAGGTGGTTGTCAACTACCTTGTGTGTGCTTATAACCAAACATAGGGTCCTCTGAAAGAGCAGCTCTTAACCACTGAGCAGTAGCTCCATCCCCTATGCTCTATTCTTCAATACTCCACATTGTATAAAAACAGATTGTTAGAGCAGTGCATTGCCCTAGGAGACTCAATAAGAAGGACCCAAAAACTAGGAGAACCCAGAAACTGCATCATCTGTCAGGCACCACCTCCCTAATCCAATCCAGACTGACAAGTAGCTTCTGGGAATAGGAAGAGAGCTACTCTATAAGTTTATTGGAGTGAAATGAAACTAGGGACATGTGGGACCCTAAAAAACAAAACCAAATAGGGAAACCTGAGCCAAGTACTTAATGGACATACCAGACCAAAGTGATACGATTCTTTGCGTGAAAGACCTTGGCTGGTGAGAGACAGACATGCCGTGCAGATAGAGCTTTCTCTCATGGGGAGTTTTATTGAGAGAAAGGGAGGAAGGGGAGGGAAGAAACTGGCCTCGAGACAGGAGTGACAGAAGAGGAGAGAGATACAGAGAGAGGAAGAAGAGGTAGAAGTAGGCAGAGTTTCACCTTTTAAAGGGACAGGATACTGCCTGCCCTGTATGCAGGGGTGACACACTGCAAGATTCCCAAGCAGCATGGTCAGGTGTACCAGGATGCTGACGTTCATCCCTTCTTTATTTATTAAAAAAAATGAGTTAGGTATAGCAAGTTAGAAAAACGAGGGCCCTGAGTTATAGAGACTACTTCCTACTGATTTGTGGGGCATCGACCATCATTTGGGGACCTGAGAAATTTGAAGTGGTGGCCACATCCTGGAGGAGCTAGTCGTTTCTCTGCTGTCCAGGTTCTGAGGAACTGTCAGGCACATCTTGGACCTGGCAAGATGATGGCAGAGCAGAGGACAAGGTTAAGTTTAGGGAAAATTTTTCTGGTAATGGAGGGGAGTGTCAAGGCCAGGAAAAGGTGGGGAGGTTTAGGTTGTTTAGGTCCTGGTAATTGGAGGGTGCTTCTGACCTGTTCAGGGTGAATCCAAGTTGACTTTCTGGAACATACAGGAGTTTTCTTGAGTTTGTGAAAACAAAATTTTAGACACATTAGAACCAGCAGTATACTCATGCTAAAAATGATTTTGGTTGAAAACATTAACACTCTTCCTTACAGAAAACTGTGACAGATGTTTCTAGCACAATGAAAAGCACCTTTGAAGTCTATAGTTAGGAAACAAGCAAAGAGAATTTAAAATCTTGATCTTGTAGTTATGATCCGATAGTGGTACAGTATGGTGTTTAGTACTCTGTCAGAGTTGGATTAATAGATTGCCAGAATTCCATCAATTACTGTTAAGACTGTGAACTTTTTGTAGTCTTAATATAACAACAGCATAATGAAAGTGAAATCTGGAGCATGTTTTATTCTTCCACACATCTCAGATCACTTGCCTTTGCCAGCACTTAAGATTTTTATCCTCAGACCTTCACAGCTTGCATTTACACACCTTAAGTCACTTTCCTGTACCATAAAACATTCTGATTCTCAGACCTTAATATATCTTAAGGCATTCTTAGACCCTCAAAACTTGTATAGACTTTTATATCCTCAGACCTTTTTAAAAAACTTTACAACTTAAACTTTTATATCTTAGAACGACTTTTTTTTTTTAAATCAAGAGACCTAGTGGCATTAGAGGAAGCAAGGCTTGATTTTTACATATAAAATGAGCTAATAAGCTGGCTCTAGCCTTGTGGAAGGATCCGGTTGTCTGATGCTGCCAGGCTGACAAGTTATAGCTAGCCCAGCCATCAATACTATCAGAGATCTCAGAAGGATAAATAAATTATACCTAAGTACAGATCAAGCAGTTTCCAAATCTATTAAAGAGACCAGTCCATACCCAGTTAGCCATGCCCAGGTCTCTATAGTGCTGGAGGCAGAAGTATCAGAATAACAGCATCAGTCTTTGCCAGGCCTATGAGGTAGGTTGGTGTGTGTGTGTGTGTGTGTGTGCGCGCGCGCGCGAGAGAGAGAGAGAGAGAGAGAGAGAGAGAGAGAGAGAGAGAGAGAGAGA